ACTGATCTTGTCCAGAAAGGATGCTTAGGAACTAAAGCTCTAGGTGATGGTGAACGCAAATGAGCAGTTTTTACTGTGTAGTCAGGAATTCACATCAGCAGACCGTAGGCCTTAGGTTTGTGAATATTGTTCCAGAACCGGGGTTCCTAGGTTTCATCCTCAAACGTCTGCAGCCGTCCTTGCTGTTCTAAGAAAGCATTGCCTTTTATGTTAGCGCCGGGTCATGTGTCCGTTGCTGGTGAGCACAGTTGGAACTGAGAAGTGGTTGCATAAATCCTGCCGGTTGTAAGTGGTGAAAGGTGCCGGTCCCTGCTTCCCTGTCGTGGTTTGAGAACATTCTATTCCCACTGCTTCTGCCATGACTCATGGCTACACTGATAAAAGAGACAGAAATAGAGGCTTCCACCTAGAACTTACTTCTGGCCTTCCGTTTTTATTACTCTCTAATCCCCATTTTTTATTTTTGCTGTCTAGAAAATTCACTTCAGAAATGATGTTTAGAAAATCTCCATAGTCATGACATTCCCCCCACCCAATCCCCCGTGGCAACTGCCTGTCTTCAAATTAATCATTAGCTTGTTCTTTTCTTTTGTTTTCATTTTGATCTTCTCAGCCTGCTTGCAGCGAGCCTTGTGATAGAAACTCCACCTCTAACGCTAGAGACAGCAGAATTCAGATGTAACTGGACCTGCTGAGATTGGCAGAGGCGACCTCAGTGCTCATGGTTGTGCTCTGAGTTCCAGCTTGAGAGCCAGTTGGGGGACCAGCAACTCCACCCTTTATACTAACACAGACTTTGCTATCTTGCGCCCCTTTCTACAGTCCATGAGTTGGAAGATGTTTTATTTTTGGAAGATTTAAAAAAAAAAACACAACACCAAAGGGCCTGATCAGTGCGGCTCAGTGGTTGAGTGTCGACCTGTGAACCAGGAGGTCACAGTTTGATTCCCTGTCGGGGCACATGACCAGGTTGCAGGCTCGATCCCCAGTGGGGGTGTGCAGGAGGCAGACGATCAGTGATTCTCACCATTGATGTTTCTATCTCTCACTCCCTCTCCCTTCCCCTCTGAAATAAAAAATATTTATATATATACCAAAGGAACTGTATTTATTGATATTTTCTTTTTTCCATTTTTATTAACCAAGAGTCTATAGCTAGGTATGAAATCAAAACATGTGCTTCAAATAGTATCAACATTAAGTTTGATTTTTCAGGTGGTTGATTGGTGTTTGTTAACATGTGCACCTTTACTATGAGTAGAGAATTCTTTGAACGTTTTTAAAAATGAAAATAATGTGAAGTCCCTGTTCCATGCTCTTTCTCTCCCCTCCCCACCCAGCCCCCCAATGACAGACTCCATGGATCCCTGTGCTCCTAGGATCTCAGGCTGAGGCTATGATCTGTACCTTGGGAATTTGTAGTTTCATTAGCAAACTTTTTTAAATGAAAAAAGATCATTTAAAATACCCACTAAAATGAATTTTTATTAAGAAAAGTACTGCCTCCCTCCCCATTTGTGGGGGAATGTAATAGAGAATCTGTCCCGATGCCCTTCTTGAGGTCTGGTCCTGGGGACCCAAGCTCCTGACCATCCCTTTTTTCTAACCTGTGTTACTAGGCCTCCCCTGTTCCCCTCGCCTATCTCCAGGAGTTTTTCTTCTCTCTGTGGCTTTGTGCCTTCTTGAGCTTACCTACCTTCTGTTTCTGTTCCCTGCTGTCTGTTTCTCACAGTGAATTGGATCCCTGTCAGGGCAAGGGTACCTCCATGTCCGCTGTGCTGGACCAGGGCCTGCCCCATTCGAATGGGAGCGGGGCAGCAGCAACCCCCTCTGCCTCCGGGCCCTCCCTACACCTGTGCACTGGGCTCTGCCCTGAGGACTTAGCATGGAGTCCATTTCAGTCCTTTTCAGGCCCACAGCAGCTCTAAGAGGAAGTAGATCACTGTTACTGTTCCCATGTTAAAGACCGGGACTTGGTTAAAGTCATAGCACTTTGCATTTGTTTAGTGACACTTTATCTCGTACCTTTGGCCCTTAGGATGGAAAAATAAAATGATTCAAAGACAAAACAGAGTACAAAGAGAAATAAAAAGTCTGGAAGATAAGTACATGGAATAAATGGCCCCCGAATACTCGTGTTGTCAGTGAGAGGGTTGTTTGCCTTCTTTTATTTTTAAAAAAATATTTTTTTATGGATTTCAGAGGGGAAGAGAGAGGGGCGGAGAGAGAGAGACATCAGTGATGAGAGATCCCCTACTGGGGATCAGGCCCGAAACCCGGGCATGTGCCCTTGACCAGAATGGAACCCGGGACCCTTCAGTCCGCAGGCCGACGCTCTGTCCACTGAGCCAACCAGCTAGGGCTGGGTCCTTTGCCTTCCAAAACTGCCCTCTTGGTGACGCCGTGTTCCCCAGAAGCGCTGCCCCGGACCATGGCGCTGCACTGTGCATGCACTGTATTCCTAAGTTTCCCAAACGTAAGCATTTCCTTGTTCAGAAATTGTTTGAGCTCTCACTGGAGACAGTGTGTATATTTATGTTGGTTTTATTTTGTGACTCCTGGTCATGCGTCACTTCCTAATCAGCAGTGCTCGTTTGCTTGGGCAGATGGTCTTGAAGAGAACATTGCCAAACAATTGGACGTGCTTGTTGCTGCTGAGGTTAATATTTAGCAGAAAAGAAAGTTGTGTTTAACCAAATAAGGCTTTGGGCATCATTAGTCGATATTTATATTACTCATTATGGTTTGAAAACATCGGTTTTGTGTAATTGCACTGTCACATAGCATCTCCAGTTTAGCACAGAGACAAAGTAAAAACCAAACCACTTGATCCGTAAAAGTAGGAGATGGTAGAAGAAACAATGAACCAAATTCATTTTATAGAAATTGTGTTTGTAGGATGTCTTTGGAACGATACGGATTTATCGTAACTCAGATACAACACATATTCATGGCTAGGTTTGGGTATAGTAGTAAGTAGCATTAGACATTATCAGTATTAACAACAGAAGAAAATTTTTGTTTTAATCCTAATTTTTATGTTTGTGCACATTTCTTTGTAAGCCATTTAAAAGCCTCCTTTTTTGGGGAGGAGATAGCCAAGTGTATATTATGAACAAAAACTTGCTGAAAAATCCCCCCATGCAATGAGCATTGGGGAAAAGGTAGGTTTAGGTGATAGTTGATATCTTGTAAAATGAAAGGCATATGCATTAAAGGGAGAATAATTGTAATTGTCACTTGCTCACAGTGGTGGCTTGAGAGTTGGGGCAAGGTGACCAAAAACAGCAGGTTCAGGTTCAGTTCTACAAAGAAGGTTAAGTTAAACATCAACCTATATAAATTTCCATTAAAAGTCTTCATAAGATACTAATGGGGTAATCAGTTCTTCTCACTGGATGGTTAAAGAGCAGGTGCCACTAGCCACATTACTCGGGATGTTTACTTTGAAGGGGGATGGCCCTCTGGAGTCCAAAGTCAAGGTAAAGAAATGTGGGTTAGTGAGTAGAATGGTTGCTGAGCCAGTGAACTGTCCTGGGGCAGGGGGCCCATAACTCATGGATCCAACAAGCAATGCCAGGTGGGCCGCTCAGGGACACTGCAGAGCCACGGTTTGGACTGAAAGATCCTTAGGTCCCTTTCATTTTTATTTGCATAAATGTTTTCATTTTAGTGGAGTTTTCTACCTGCTTCGCTAATTCTCATTGGAGCATCCTTAGGAAATTTTAATGTACATATTAAAAACCACAGTGTGTGTGTGACTTTTGTGTTTGTGCCTTTATTACCCTCTTTGTTTAGTTTGGACCAAGGAAAATATATTTTATTAACAAGGTTTAATTCTCTTGGAAAATAACGTGGAACCTACATTATCTGGGGCATTTAAGCTGTAATGAGAGCAGTCGAGTGTTAACAGATGTGGTCACAAAGGCCCGGTGGCCTGCTCCTCGGTTCTCCTCCAAGCCTTTGTGGTCCGGAAGCTTCTTGAATTTCTCTCTTATGTGAATGTTGATATAATCTGTCTATACTTTAGTTTTTGGAATGAATTAATTTATATGATACCCTTCCTAAATGGATTTTTTTTTCATCTGAAGAAGACATTTTTCCATCTGATTGACAGCTTTGTATTTTATTTCATACAAGAAGGGATTATTTTTGATTATAGGCGTTAGTCTATTGCTAGAGTGAGAGGGCCCTCAGATGTGACTATCCAGCCTTGCATCTGCAGGATGCCGTATGCAGATATTGGACAGGTGGTTGCCCAGTCTCTGTGGGAACATTTGCAGTGACAGGAAGCTGCTACGTTTCCCAGTGCTTTAACGGCTGTATTAAGTAGGTCCTTCCTGCCGTTTTTAAGCCAAAAAGTGTGCTTCTGGTGCCGTTTTTAAGCCAAAAAGTGTGCTTCTGGTGACTTATACCTTCAGTCCTAGCTTCGTCCTCTCATTGACAGCCAGGAATATTGCCTCATTGACAGCCAGGAACATTTCTGTCCTCTCCAAGCTGTAATTTTCTCATCTATAAAATGATCATGAGTTGCAAGATCTGGTTATCTCACCAGGATCGAGGTGAAGAACAACTGAGATAATTGTGACCTTAGGCAAAATCCTGTCCATGTCTCAGAGTATTACCCTCTTAGCTTTACCTCTGGGGTGTAATGTGATGGGGAAACAGCCGTGCCTGTCCATCAGTTGGTGGACCTTGATAGACACTTTCGAGTTGTTCTTGTCATTAACAAATGAATTAATTCATCTCTTCAGTCAACATTTATTGACCATTCACCATGTGCCTGGCACTTGCTTGGGCCTTGAGTGAATTAAACGGTGAACAAAACAGATTCCATCTCTATCTTACTGGGGCTTAACCTTTCTTCCCTAGACTTTTTTACTTTGAGATATAAGTGCTTTTGACTGTTCAAAATAAAATAATATTGTTAGTCTCCTTTAACGAAGTGTTTTTAGTTTTCTGACTAGTACAATATTTAGCAGTGTGTCTTTGATTCGTAGATATATGGAGTCTGGGAGTGATCCTTTTCATGTTGGTGTGCGGGCAGCCACCCTTTCAAGAGGCCAATGACAGTGAAACATTGACAATGATCATGGATTGTAAATACACGGTCCCATCCCATGTGTCTAAAGAGTGTAAAGAGTAAGTAAAAAAAAAGTGTGTGCTTATTTCATTTCTTGAACTTAATATTTCTGCTCTTGATAAGTGTGTTTTGGGGAGTTAACCCCAGAATATGATTTGAAATGTAATATTAGATACAGAGTGTATTACTGTCTTGCTTAAATATGCCAGTTTTCAAGAAGCTCATTACGTGCTGTTTCAGTCTCCAGGAGAGGGGGTTACTTTGCTTGAAATGAGACATTACCGCGAGAATTACTCTTCTCTGTTTGCATCAGCAACGAGGACGACCACCTGGAATTATTTTAAGTTCCAGAGAAGAGTTAGGGCATTTCTGAAATAGACAATCAACACACCATTTTAGGATTTATATAGTGTGGCTCATAATTTTATTCCCACACCCCTCCCCCCAGTTAACTAAAGAGCTCTGTTTTGGTTCATGTGACTATGGGAAGCCAACCAAAAATACACTCAAGTTGATTGTTTTGGATTTAAAGTACCACACAGCACTCGGATATGTGTAGTCAGAAATATAGTGGAATAAAGGAACTGTTGGAAGTTCAGGATTTCATTGATGTTGTGGGTGATGCTTTGAAATGAGCTTGGCTGAGAGTATAGCTACCACTTACAGGACTTTGCTGTCGTAACAGATTCAGCTGGTAACCATGTATGTTGCCAGATGGGAAGTAGACTTCTGGGGGGATCACTTTGTGATATAGAAATGTCTAATCACTATGCTGTACCCCTGAAACTATTATAGTATCGAATGTCAGCTGTAACTGGTGGCGGGGGGGACTAGAAGGAAATCTGAGTTTGAAGAATCCTTTCTCCAGGCGGAGCCCCATCTTAGGCCATGTGGGGGATCGTTAAGAACTTAGGTGTTCAAACTCTCTGGATTCAAATACTAAGTTCTCCCTTTACTAATGATGTGAGAATAATAGAACCCACCTTTTGGGTTATTGTGAAATGAAATGAATTAATGTCTATAAAAGTTCTTAGCTCAGCCCTCAGCACATAGGAAGCACCTGATATGAATGTTGATGATGGCGATGTTTATGCCCTTACTGTGATTCTTCTCTGCCCCAGGAAGCAGGATATATGCTGTGTGCATGTTAAATGTTTGTAATTCAAGAAGTATCTCCACAGCCTCTACTCAAAAACTTATTTTTATATTGAAATATGTTATTCACAAGAATGTTTAAAATGTGTCTGTAATAAAATGAACACCTCTGTACCTGTTATCCAGCTTAAGAAATGGAAAGGTTCTAGTAACTTAGAAGCCTCTGTGTCTCCCTCCAAGAGGAATTATCTTTAATAATCATAGGACCACTCAGTTTTCTACTTTCTCCTGTGTCAGTTTTGCAAGTTGTGTTTTTCAGGGAACTCATTTTTTTTTTTTAATGGAAAAGCAAGCACGAATTTATTGACCATAGCAAAAATATTATGGGCCCTTAGAGGTTAGGGCATACGAGCCTTGGGGGAAGGAGAGAGAGAAGGGAATGGCAAGGGCGTGCTCCCTGAAGGGATAGTGCCAGGAACTTATTCATTTTATCTACATTTTCAGATTTATTGGTCTCAAGTATTCATAATACCCTCTGATTACATTTTTAAAGTCTATAGATTAGTGGGGGTGTTGCCCTTTTTCATTCTAATATTGACACCTGTTGCCTTCTCTTATTTTTTGTCTTGTGCAATCTTGCCTGTTGTTTTTTATCTTATTAGTCTTTTTCAAAGAACTACCTTTGTTTGAACAATGGACTTACTTCCCTTTCCAGCCTGATCACCCGGATGCTACAGAGGGATCCCAAGAGAAGGGCCTCTTTAGAAGAGATTGAAAACCATCCTTGGCTTCAGGGTGTGGACCCTTCGCCAGCCACCAAGTATAACATCCCCCTGGTGTCCTACAAGAACCTCTCAGAGGAGGAGCACAACAGCATCATTCAGCGCATGGTGCTCGGGGACATAGCGGATCGAGATGCCATTGTCGAGTATGTTATCACTCACCTGTCGGGGCCATGGGTTCGGATGCTTGGAACTGGCTCTCTCTCTGTATTGCCAGGGCCTGTGGCACTGTGTGATGGCTAGAGACCCAGCTGACAGGGTCATGCCATTTATCTCTACAGTTCCCTGCCCTGGTCCTGGTTCTTAGGTTTTGTTGTATTTTGTTTATTTTTGTACTAGTGACCAAGGGGCGTGTCATTGAGCACTGTGGCCTTTCTCCCTTCCTCCTGGGGTACAGCCTGCTTTGTATCCCCGTATGTGCCTTGCCCATAGCAGTATTCTCTTCATTCCCATGTCCCTCACTGGTTCCCACAGTGCGCAGGGAGAATGGGGCAGCATCTCAAGTCCCCTAAGTCAGGGGTTGGCATGTGGGGGCCAGTCATGCATTTATGTAAGTAGAGTGTTAGTGGACCACAGCCGTGCCCATTCATTTATGTTTTGTCCACGGTGCATGTGCTACAGCAGCGTATCTGAGAGACTACATGACCCTCAACATCTGAAATACTTGCTCTCCGGTCCTGAAGAGCCCCTGCTGCCACCACCTGGAACCCACAAGACCCACAAGTTATTAACTAAGTCCTTGAACAGCACAGAAGGACTTCAGAACCTAAGGGGCTTAGAAATCACCTAACTTTTTAAAATAACCTGAGCAGTTTAGAATCAAGGATAATATAAAGATGTGCTTTGCTTTAGCATTGATTCATTTCTATAGGAGGTCCTAGCTTTAGAATATGAAACACTTCCACAAAGGAAAAGTCAGACGTTATTTAACCCATTGGAACAGCTGGTACGATGGAAAGAGTGGCTTGCCAAGGACACGCACTTTAGTAGTGCATAGAAAATGATTGTTCGTTTTTGAGTAGATAGAAGGCTATTTTTGTCTCCTAGATTGTCTTAATGTTCTCAGCTTAAATAAGTAAATAGCTGCCGTGGTGTCACAGAGCTATTTACCTCACATAAATTCAGTCATAAACCCAGAAGGAGCGCTCATCGAATGTTCAGGAGGTTCCATGTGCCCGTCCACCAGTGAGCATGCGCCGGAGGGAAGCGGGGCTCTGGACGCCTGAGCCGCCCTTCCAGGCAGTCTCGGTCTTCCTGCGCCCACAGCGTGAGCAGCGTGAGCCCTCCTCTGTGGGTGACTCTGCATCAGAGACTCGAATGTGTTGGCTCTTGTGGGCTCTTACTTTGGAGTCTGTCCTAGGCCTGCCCGCCCACCCCTGTTAAGCTGTGGCCCAGGTACACGTGGTGAAAAGTGATCCCCATGTTGCTTCTTTCCTAGTGTTCATTGTGCATTTTCACTAACGACAGAAAGTTCCCGAAAAGCCTGGCTGCATAGTTCTGGGCCTGGTGGGCCCCTGTCACCTGCTCCTGCTGTTGCCTGGAAGGCCAGCTGCAGGGGAGCAGGCAGGGCCGCCTCGGAGGGCCAAACACCCCCAGCAGCTCCCCAGCTCCGGTGGCTGCACTCGGTTCTCAGAGCATCAGTTTTGAAATGAATGAGTGAAAACATTGACAAAGAAGATGCTAATGACAGGCTCTCGGTTACATTAATGATAATGCATTTATATGTAAAATTCCAATAAATGCCAGGAGAGTGTAAGAGTAAAAACTCCCTGATTTTTGTGATTGGTACAAATGTACAATGGTACAATTGGTACAGTGTGTTTCAGCACACATTCATAGAACCCACTTTATACTTCTGATGGCAGCAAGTAAGCCAGCTCAACGAAAACAAACACTTCGACACAGAGTAAAGTTTGGATAATGTGTACATTCTCGAAGCCTCATTTCCTTTTATGCACCTAAACCTGACATCTAGCCCACATGCCATCAGCATTTTGGATTTTTGTTACTAACTGAATATTTTTATGCAGTTTTTTTTAGAGTTGCAAGAGTAATCTAAATACTAGTTGTTGTTTTTCTTATTTGTGATCTTTCTTAATTTTAAAGAGTCTGAGCATTGGATCCATTTGCTTGGACTGTACTTTAAAAGCATCAGTTCTGCTTGTAAAAATCTGCTACTGAGGTCTCTGCACTCTCCCTGTTTCTCCAGAGCCCTGGAGACCAACAGGTACAACCACATCACGGCCACGTACTTCCTGCTCGCCGAACGGATCCTGAGGGAGAAGCAAGAGAAAGAAATCCAAACCAGGTCTGCCAGCCCCAGCAACATCAAGGCCCAGTTTAGGTGAGAAAAAATCTTCACTGATTTTAGTAAGTTAACGTTTTGAAATAGTGAACGTTGTTTGTTTGCTTGCTTAATGCTTCCTAACTCCGGGGCAAGATTGTGAACAGCGATGGGGGCTCTCCACACGCGTGGGGGCTGGGACCCTGCGTCACCAAGGATGCCGTGGGCTCCTGGGCTCGGGGCTGCGGCTGCTGGCTTGGCCGGGAACATGTTTGGAGACGGTCTCAAGCCAGCGTGTCTGTAGTTTATTTTCATTAAACTCTTCCAGGTCTGACATGTATTAATAAGTTATTTTCTTTATTCTTTTATTCCAGGAACAAGGCCAGTTTTCCCTCAGTTATTTGAAATAACTTTTAAAAATAACAGGGCATTTCTGGGCCCGTGATGTTGTCTCAGGATTTCAGGGATTTGACAGTCAGATTAGCCAGTTGATTTATTGGCTGATGACCTGGGGAGGTCACTTAACCTATGACTCAGCTGCTGAGTCGGCCTGTGAAGTGGGAGGAAGCACCCTGCCTGCCTCCTGGGGTGCGGTGAGGGCCAGATGAGTTAGGGCCTGTGGGGTGCATCCGGCCCGGCTCCCTGTTGCTGCCTCTGGTAGGACTATCACCACCCTGTCTCTCCTTTCCTCCCTCCTTCCTGAACTCTCCATCCTCCTCCCCAGTTTCCTGTTCTCCTGCCATGCTAGCTTTCCGCTTAAAATCAGAGCGTAGGAAGGGTTACCTTTTACACCATCATTAGGAAATTTATTAGAATTCATATCCAGATAAAGTAACCCCTGGACCTGTAGTGATTCAAAAACCAAAGGACGCTCCCAATTCTGAATAATTCTCTACTCGTACATCCAACAATGAATGATTATATGTGTGTGAATATTTACTTATTATTTAAAAAGAGGAGGGAAACCGTTGGGGTTAAATTCCCTGCAGTCACTTGCCATGCTAGGTTGTTGCTTGGGCTGGAGCGACAGAGGAGAGAGAAGAAAGCAGTGCTGGTGGCTGAAGAAGAAAGAGTGAGAAGTCTGAGCTGGAAACCGAGTGTAGGAACTCCGTGTCCTGCACACATTCTTCTGTAATGGAAACTAGGCACGCTGTCAGGTGTCGGCTTGGAAGAAGCCTGGGCCCAGGGAGCCAGGGGACTCCGGGCATGAGACAGAGCAGGAGAGTGACACGGAGAGGGTGGGCCAGCTCGTCCTGCTGAGCCCTCTGGTGGGAAAGCACAGCCTCCGAGTAGCTGGGCCACCAGGTCGGGAGCCACCCAGTCCTTTTGGAGAAGGGGTATTTGGATTTGAGCTGTTGTCTGTTCAGTGAGACAGAACAGAGCTCAATCTAAAAGTGATCAAACAGTAACTGAGTTAAATTGGTTTTACTTCTGGAAATGGCAAAGCCAATAGCAGCTATAAAGAAGTATCAGAGCCTCCCACAGTTTTCCTTTACCCTCCTGGGGATTCTGGAGCGGAGACGCCCTGCAGGCCTGTCTTCCTCCTGTGTCTGCTTCCTCGCCTTCTCTTTACGTCACTGTGACTTCAGTGTCCAAACCCTGGGCCTGACTTGGCTCTGTAGCTGAGGATGCCTATGGTCAGCCTGACCGCTACAGCTGTAGCCTGCACTCATCCTGTTTCCGGGGGTGGGAGGGGAGGAGAGAAGAGCCTTTATCAGGCTGTGCCCCTCCCCATCCTTCTCGAATGGACCGGCTGCTGCTCTGGCAAGTCAGTACCCCGCCATGGGCTCCCCCGTGGTCGTGGGGTGATGTTCTGGTGGCTGCTCAGCCTGAAAGCACAGTGTGTGCGGCTCTGCTCTGTGGGACCTCGAGGCTCACCGGGAGGGGGCGCAGTGGTGTTGGTGGAGGACAGACGACTTGTCCAGAGACACTGCTTGACCTCAAAAACATCGAACACTCAGCTTCTATAAACTACCACGCAGTGACGATAGCAAATGGCTCTCTACCCTCGAGGGAACGTGATACGGCTCTGAGTTGGGGGAAGGATATCTGTTGTAAATGCCTATGAGTTTTACCAAGCTATAGATTTAATTAGGTGTTATTTCTAGGATAACATAACTGGTGTGAAATGAAGATGTCATCGTGTGGAAGTGGCTGTTGTAAACGTGTCTGGCATCTGCTGGTCCCTGGGCAGGGAGGACAGCTGAGAATTCCAAGATGTTTATTCAAAACAAGCCAGAGACCTCATTTTCCAAAGTCTTTCTCTTTAGCTACCAAGCAGGGTTCTCGTTACTTGAGTGACTCCAGATGGGGGATAAAATCAGAGTTTACGTCATAGTGGGTTTGCTGTCCAGTACTCTTCCTGAGCATTGGACATAGAAGTATTTCTATTTTGCTGGTTGCATTTTTTTAATTGGTGAGGAGATGATATATACCAGCATTCACTGACTCTTCTCTCCAACATTCTCATGTTAAATCTATTCAACTATTTCCATTTATTTTTGTAAATACCAGACTTTTACAAAAAGGAGGACTGGAAATTTCAGGTGAATCTTCTTAGCAACACACCATCACAGGCTGCGACCTAAGGCCCAGAGGGACAGGGTGTGTGGTGTTCAGGTTTTGCTTTGGTGGTGACTCCCGTGTGCTTTTAAAAAATGCTTTTCTTGGGGCATACACTGTTGTAGAGGAGAGGCGCCCCGGCAAACCCTTTTCTGACAGCTGGGACGACGTTTTCTGGCCACGAGCACAGACTGAGCTGCCTTCAGAACCACGTGCCCTTCAGGTGTCCTTGCTGACCATCACGGGGTGGCATGAGCTTGCATGGCTGCCGTTCCTTTTCTTCTAAGTGTGCAGGTTTGTCCCAGTAAGTTGTGTCTCATGTCCTTCAGCAGAGTCTGCATGTGATTACATGGGTGTCCTTTCCCATCTGCTCCACAGGCAGTCGTGGCCCACCAAAATCGACGTGCCCCAGGACCTGGAGGATGACCTCACCGCCACGCCCCTGTCCCACGCGACCGTCCCTCCGGCTCCTGCGCGGGCCGCCGACAGTGTCCTCAATGGCCACCGGAGCAAAGGCCTGTGTGACACGGCCAAGAAAGACGACCTCCCCGAGTTGGCGGGGCCGGCATTGTCCGCGGTGCCGCCGGCGAGCTTGAAGCCCGCGGCCAGTGGGCGGAAGTGTCTGTTCCGGGTGGAGGAAGACGAAGAGGAGGATGAGGAGGACAAGAAACCCATGTCCCTCTCCACGCAAGTGGTCCTGCGCCGGAAGCCCTCGGTGACCAACCGGCTGACCTCGAGGAAGAGCGCCCCGGTGCTGAACCAGATCTTCGAGGAAGGGGAGTCCGACGACGAGTTCGACATGGATGAGAACCTGCCTCCCAAGCTGAGCAGGTTAAAGATGAACATCGCCTCCCCGGGGACGGTTCACAAACGCTACCACCGGAGGAAAAGCCAGGGCCGAGGCTCCAGCTGCAGCAGTTCGGAGACCAGCGACGACGACTCGGAGAGCCGCCGGCGGCTCGATAAAGACAGCGGCTTCACCTACTCCTGGCACCGCCGGGACAGCAGCGAGGGGCCGCCGGGCAGCGAGGGCGACGGCGGGGGCCAGAGCAAGCCCAGCAACAGCAGCGGCGGGGCGGACAAGGCCAGCCCCAGCGAGAACAACGCGGGTGGGGGCAGCCCCTCGGGCGGCTCAGGGGGAACCCCAGGGGGCACCTCGGGCAGCACCCGCCGCTGCGCCGGCCCCGCCAACTCCACGCAGCTGGCCTCGCGCAGCGCCGGGGAGCTGGTGCAGAGCCTCAAACTCATGGGCCTCTGCCTGGGCTCTCAGCTCCGCGGGGGCACCAAGTACATTCTTGACCCGCAGCACGGCCTGTCCTTCTCCAGTGTCAAGGTCCAGGAGAAGTCCACGTGGAAGATGTGCATCAGCTCCGCGGGCAACCTGGGCCAGGCCCCCGTGGTGGGCAGCCTCAAGTTCTTCTCCGACCACGTGGCGGACAGCACCACTGAGCTAGAACGGATACAGAGCAGGAACCTGAAAAACAACGTGCTCCAGCTACCTCTGTGCGAAAAGACCATCTCTGTGAACATCCAGCGGAACCCCAAGGAGGGGCTGCTGTGTGCCTCCAGCCAGGCCACCTGCTGCCACGTCATCTGACAGTGGCCGCCTGGCCACGCGCACGCTTCCTGCTCAAAGCAGTGAAGACCGGCTCCCTTCACTGTTTGCTCTCGGTTTTACCCTCTCAGCGGGCAGTTATTTATTACGCTTCCCTTCGTTCGCCTGGCGCTGTGACAATGCATGGTCCTTGTGCATGCTGCTGCTAGACACTGCTTTTCTGTTCCAGCCGAAAAGTCAATCTCGTGTGTCACTTTTACATTCAGAATTTTAGTGTGGATGATCAGGATTAAATTAAAATGTATATTTGGAACCTAATATAAATGGAGCACTTAGAAATTTGATGTTCCGCACTTAACCTAGACAGAGAAAACATGCTTGTATTTCCTTGTTGAAAAATCTAAATTCCTGTCCTGACCTTGTTACACGGAGACTCCGTGCTCTGGGGCACACTCTGGTGTCCGATACAGAACCAAAGCAATAACGGTGAGATGCCGACAGGCCTGGAGCCCGCGGACGTGCCCGCCAGCTTTCCGAGGCTGCGCGGGACAGAGTACAGCCAACGTCTGCACTAGAACCTTAAACCGAGATTTCAACAGACCCACACCTGTTTGTCTTAAGCTATAGTGTGAAAAAAGTTTGGGCTCTTAAAAATTAACTGAAAAAGATTTTCTTGTTTTGTAATAGGTGAGATAAAGTACTTAGATTTATAAGGCAGCTTCCCCTGTAGTGGTAAATGACAAGCAGACAATCTTATTTTGTAATGTGTGAACTGATGATGTCTTAACTCTACTTATAGAGTGTGTCTGTGTAACAGAACAAAATGACGCTCGTGTAAACGCCTTCCCGCAGGGCACAGCCCAGGGTTTCCTTCAGAACCATGTAGATAGAAGAAACGTAGGGCCTAACGTGGAGGCAAAGTGCACTCAGAGGCGGGCAAAGTCAAACCCGGTCATTGAACAAAACATATATAAACACATATATATACACATGGATTGATTCTTACGAGTTTGGTAATTAGGTTGTCTCTTTTGTTACTTCCATTTTATATTCTTTAGCTCAATTAGCTATGACAATTGGCTAATCAAAAAATACACATAAAAGGGTAGAATCCACACAATCAACAAACAAAACCTGCTTCAGTTTTGTTTTTTTTGCTGGAAATATTTTTCACTTTGCCTTCCTGCCAAAACAATAATCAAGAACTCTTGCTTTAAACTATTCCTGTACAGACTCCTTTTGACCAGATAATCATCTTCCGAGACAAATTTTATCTGTAGGCACAGTGTATTGCACATTGCTGATTGCGGAAGGGGCCAGATGCTACTTTTCTATGCTGTGCCCCGAGGGGTCTTAGATGCTTAGCCGCATTGGTGATAGGATGCGGCTGGGCCCGGGCCTTCCCACGCTCATCAGCCTCCAGTGAGGTGTCTGGTCCACACAGTGGCGGAGCCCCAGGGGACGGCATGCCATTGGGCAATGCCTCCACGTGTACACTGAACTTGCTACGTTAGTACCCATCTGTTTTACTCAGAGCTCTGAATTTCACTGTATACTTACTAGACTAAGTAAAGATGATACTTCAAATACTTCTTTTACTTTCTAGACCTAAGCTAGATGTGTTTTAAGCTATAGCTCTAGTTCAGTGTGATATTTATAATTGAAAGCTATGAGAATAGGTGTGTGGGTGAAGCCATAGAACACATTTGCTTGAAATTCTTGAGCAGGGATCTTATAAAGGGCCAGAAATAAGATGTGTGGTTCACATAGACAGTGAGCGTAACATCTGTATTAAACATAGGAGAGAAGTTTATAAAGGGCATTGGCAATAAAACTCTTTGTTGCAGCTGTTTTCCAAGCAATGTAAATACTTTTTCCTGTGATTATGTATAGCCTTGGAATGGCACATTTGAACCCGTATGTGTTCGGTTTTCGTTGTGTTTTTTATATTCAGATGTATATATGGTGCTCACTCTAGGATCAGCAGTGTTGACCATTTATGCTGCATAGCTGTATTATAGCCTTATTAGTTGTGTGTGGTTGGTTGGCCCTCTGGGTAGACAGATGTTAGTCTGAGTGGTGTCTGACTCCTTTGTTCCTAAGTGAATGACTGTGCATGTGTTGTATGTCATAGTATGTTGTCCCATAAAAGAGAGGGAGCGAATAACCATTACATTAAGATAATATTGGACCAAACTACTTACTTGCTCTAAACAGTTTCTTGTACCCCTTAACCTGTCTTCAGAAGTTGCATAGAGTTACAGTAGTGTGTAAATTAAATATTGTGGACAATTAGTCTTGTATTTTTCTGTATGTGTGTGTATATATATACATATGTGTGTATATATATATATATATATAAAATATGTACTTCTGACAATTCTATCTGTATTTAAAGATGTGACAATCTTGACACCGACTTTAAGAATAGCCGTGAGACTGAATCAAATTAAAGGTATTTCTACCACGTAAGCGCTGGTGTGTGTGAAGCATATACAGAATGATCAACTGATTGGTTATTTGCGTCCACTGCGGGTTGATTTTCCTCGCCATGTGAACATGGACAGGTCTGTGACAAGTGGGAGAAAATCCAAACAATAAAGTGGCATATTGGTGTTCAGCAATAGAACGGCGTCCCATTCCGTTTCTTCTGTGTCCCGCCCCTCGAGGGGGTGGCATCTCGCTGTGGCAGGTGCTCAGGAGCGGGGGTGGGAGGAGCCAAGGCGCCCCTCGCTGCTCCACGCCCCGTGGTCCTATTGACTGGACTGTGGAGCCCTCCGGGACGATGCCGTCCCTCTCCACCCCCCACCCTGGCCTCACGCTGGGGAAGAGGTGCTCCCCGCAGTGTGGCCATTGGTGTGTGGCCTCGTGACTACAAGATGTGGAGGAGGTTTGATGGCAGTTTCCCTTGAGCCTGTGGCACCCATGTCGCCAACAAGGTCACGGAAATCACGGCCTCCCTCCCACAGTGAGCCTGTGAGCTTCCTCAGGAAGGGGATACGAGCTAAGTGTCAGGCTCCGCCCTACCCATTGCCATCGCCGGTGACACCTGGGAGTGCTGAGGCCCAGGCAGGAGGGGCAGAGCTGGGTGGGTCCAGGTCTGCTGACCCTGGAGGGGGGCAACCCCACCCCCAACCCCCAGTCTCCAATAGGCACAGGCCTGATTTTTCCACTGATTTTTAGAGAGAGAGTGGGAGGGAGGGCGACAGAAACACCCATGTGAATGGGCAGGAAGATCAGCCGATGGGGTTCACATCGGGAACCCACTGCCCCACACCCACTGTGCTCATGTGACTGGGGGAGACAGTGAGCTGGGTCTGAGGCGCCCAGGCTGGGATGCGAGGAAGCTCCTGGCTCAGGACCGGAGTGGCGGGGACCACGTGCTGGTTTAAATCACAATAATGTTCTAGAAAGCATTCCTTAAGCCGCAACCAACCACTGAACGCGTACATGGGCCTTGATGCCTCAGACCAAGCAGAGGCAGACATGCTGGCAAGCGCAGAGGCCTGGCAGGACCAGCTGGGCAGCCAAGAGTGGCAGACGGGGGCCGGCTCCCAAAAACATGGTGCTTGACGGCTGAGGCCACCCCCATCCTGATGTGGAGGGACTCGGGGGGCCGGCCCTGAGGGAGGGGACGGGTCTAGACTGAAGCCCTCATTTCCCCCTGCTCATCCGCCTTCCCCAGTGGCCGAGGCACCTGAGTGGAAATGCCCACGGCCCAGTGTCCCAGCTGTGAGGGACATGTGCCGGGGGGCAGGAGGAGGGGGAGGTGGGTAAAGGGGGGGCTGTTTCACAGGCAGAGTGTGCACAGCTGGCAGAGAAAGGAAGCCAGGCCCTCCCTTGCAGGTGGTCCTCGAGCCTGGACCACAGGCGGGGAGCAGCGGACTCCAGTCGCTGCCTTGTGTCCGGAGGGCCAGACCACGGTGACCCACACTGTGCCTGAGAGCGGTCCAGCCCCATGGCACGGCTGGGGGGGTGCAGCACCCCTGGGTAAGGTCCCTCCTCCGCAGGCATCAGCCACACCAGGAGCCAGGTGTGGCCGCTGGCTCTCCACCTGGTGCCCTGTGCATGGAAGCAGCCCCCGCAGCCCTTGCCAGGCTCCCAGGGCAGCAGGGCCTCCCGAGAACCACCCGAGCTTTGGAAGTGGCACCAGGTGCCCAGCTACACGCTCAGCCTCCCCACTCAGGCTTCACCTTGACGAACCTGCCCCCAAGCTCCTCCCAGGACCCCGGGGGCCATCGCAGTCCACGCGTGGAAGTAGGAGCCAGAGAGGTGCTTTTAATAGCTGATACTATTGCTTCTGCTGATAAAGTGTCTTAACATGTTGCAAAATAGAACCAGGAAAGAGGTAGAGTTGTCGGGAATTGGAAACCCTGCCTCTTGTCCACCCCTCGCTCTGAACTGAGGCTGGGCAGAGCCCCCTTCAGCACGGCTCGCACCCGGGCCGCCACCCTGCCCCACGGATCCCTGGGTGGTGGGGTGGGGGTGGGGGTTGACTGTCTCTGAGGGGCCCCATGGAGAGCTGGTGGTTGGTCCACACGAGAGGCTCAGGGCAGCGGGTGGAGTGCAGTGTGTGGAATGGAGTGTGGGGCTGGGCAGAAACCTGGGGAGGGGGGGAGCGGGGGGTGATGGGGGGAGCTGCCAGGAGCTGGGTCCCAGCCGCCCTCTTCACGGCCCTGAGCTGGGACACTGTGTTGGGAGGAGTGGGTGCTGCCACGGGGAGCTGCTTCCTCTGGCCGAGCCTTGGATCTGGGTTTGGAGCCGCTCAGCCACTTGGGTGCCCCTCTGCTAGTTCAGGTTGCCTTCTTTCTCCTTCCCGCCTTCTTCCTTCAGGTTCTCGGCCACCAGCTTCATTTGCTGTTGAGAGAACACAGGGTGAGCCACGCTAGCCGGAGTGGTGGCACCTCGGTGGTGGCAGGGCTCCCACCTTCTGCAGGAGGCCCTGGGCAGCGTGTTCCTTCACTGTCGAGGCACCCGAGACACTGTGACCCCCAATGCACCCGAGGCCTCCTGGAAGTGCCTGGCCCCTGTTTCTGACTGAATGAGATGGGGCCCAGTCGGGTGGGTGGAAACGGTGAGTCAGCTCGCGGGATTTTGAAGGTACTGAAAGGAGAAGCAGCCGGCCTGACCTGCTTCCTGGACCCGGGGTCCGAGGAGGCAGCGCAGGGACTGAGCACGGACAGGCCAAGTCCCCGCTCTGCCCCTTGAGCCGAGTGAACGTGGCCTTTGACCTCTGTGAGCTGGTGCCACGTCTGCCCTGGGGCAGAGTCTGCAGGTGGCTGTGGGGATTCCTGTACACAAGGTCCCTGGTCCAGAGCAGAGGCTCCCAAGCAGCGATTTTACTAGCCCTTCGTCCCTACAGCCACAGCGCCCAGCACCCCCATCCAATGTCACGGGAACAACCTATGAAGTCCCCTCCAGGGCCAGCCAGGCCCAGAGGGAGGGGCCTGCACCCCGGGGTCGAGCTACCTGGGGAGGAAGTCCTGCGCTCCACCCTGGGGCCCCCCAGGTCCCAGCCTCCTCTGTCCCAGGGGTGCTGCCAACAGGACTACCAACTACTCTGGGATTTGGCTTAACACACAGGCAGAGATTTTTGATAACAACTGTTTATGGGAAAAGCAGAACTCGGAGACAAACTGCTGGTGCTCTGGGAACCCCGCTGCCCCTTTTGGAGCCTGTGGGCCACGTGGAGCTGGACGTGGCACCCGCTCCCTCGCTCTCGGGGGAGGAAGCCCTTCCACAGACTGTGAAGCAAAGCCTCGGCCTCCTCTTCACCCCGACCCTCCTCTCAGGAGGCCCCACTTCCCGGGGCCGACTCTGTCTCCACAGGGCGGTGCAGAGATGGGCTCCTGGAGGCTGACCCCCTCCATCAGGGTTAAGGGGACTGCCTGGCCCTCACGCGGCCACATGGAAGCTGGGTCCAGGGGATGGCGTGTGATGGGAAGGGGACCGGGCGGGGTCACGGTGACCAGTCTGCAGTAGGGCGGCGTTTCCGCAGGCCGAGAGCAGAGGGTGGCAGGAGAGCGACACTGGCCTCAGGACGTGCCTGCCCCCTGCCCCAGGGACCGCGGCTGCACTGTGGACGCGGCTTCAGCCTGACAGGACGGTGCAGACCGTGGAAATGGCTCACAAGCCGGACGGAGAAACAGAGCTGCGTGCCCCACGTCTCCCAGGAGTGACGGTGCGTCTGCACCTTCTGTCACTGCACTCCCTGTCCGCACCCCAGCCCATTTGGCCTGTTAACTACTGAGGTGAAAGATCCCCAGAAAACGAACATTCAGCCGATCTTCAAGACCTTAAAAAGTCATTTTTTTATGAGAGAGAGAATATAAATCTATTTCCAGATGTGACAGGTAACCATAAGAAGTTGTTTAAATTGACTAAACTAGAACCATCGAAGACAACATTCCCTAGCTTGTCCCAGAACCTTCCAGCCGCACTTCCCCAGCGTTCCCCACGGGGAGGAAGATCAATATGGGTTGGATCAAATGTGTTCCGATTTAAAGGAGCCTGGAGGCTCTTTGTGAGGCGCAGCTGTTCCCTCCCCCCATCTGTGTGGGTGGCTGCGCTGGGAGCCCCTGGGCATCAGGCAGCACTCCCCGAGGGGCCTCCTGCTCGCAGCGGCTGGGGGATGGGCCCGTTTGATTGATTCTCTCCCGGGCACCACCGGCCCAAAGGGTCTTCAGTGTAACTTTGTGGAGTTGCCCCTTCTCTCAGACCCAAGGTTGGCTGGCAGGGGGCGGCCCAGGCCAGGAGGAGGCACTCAACACCCTCTCCGCTGGGCTCCTTGTCACCTCAGTGCCTGCCTGCGCAGGACAGCTCCTAAGAGGATGGGCATGTCAGGAGCTCACAGGTCATCTACACTGAACTGCGCTGCTCACAGCAAAGGCAGGACTCTGGCCACAGCTCTCCCAGGCCCCAGGCCAGGTGCCAGGCTCCGTCTGCACAGAGCACCTGCCTGCACTCCGGCCCCTCCTCCCGCCCTAGAGCAGGGCTGCTTGGAAGCCAACCAGTGATCAGTTGTGTGTCAGGCCAAACCTCCCCAGCCCCTCTCTCCATGGCTGGGCCCCAAAGGGAATGTCACCCGGGGGCCTTCGCCAGGCTGTGGGAGGGACTGGGGCTCGTACCTCGGCGTCTCTTTTAAAACAAATCTGGCTTCTTTGGGATTCTTAAATTAAAACCTCCTTAAACATAAGCAGGATAATGGTGCTCACTTCTTTCCTACAAAAAGCATCAGATGGAGAATAAATCCTCCCCAACTCATGACTCATTAAACACTCATGTTCCAAATCACTCTTTAAACAGCACAGACTGATTTTTTGCATCATTATTAGTAATGATTATAATAGGAACCTAGTCACTGTGTTGGCCAAAGCGCAGCTGAACCTGAGCGCGTGCGTAACTATACACACCTGTTCCCCGTGGAGGAGGAGAGAGATGGTTTGAGATCTGGGATGCTTCCCCAGGCCTGGGCAGCCCTCCCCTCCCAGGCCTGGACAGACCCTCCCTGGCCGGGCCACAGTCAGCACTGGAACCACCCATGCACAGCACTCAGATCACGACCAATCGTTGACATCATTACCCAATTCGAAATCTGTTAGCAACTACTCCGTTACCCCTCCCCCA